GAGGTTTTACAACTCATCCGTACATTACCCATCCTCACAAAATCGGCATTTGTCGTTTTGAGGGTAATGACAATGATGAAGTATTATTGTGTTTTGCAATTTATCCCCCCATCCTTATCCCCACAACAGCATCCGGATAATACGGTTAGTCAGACATGTACAATTTGCAGATGCCCACAGGGTACACGAATGGCCACGGGGTTGGCGTGGCTGTCGTGTGACGTCGCATGCAGGATGCACATACAGCGCGCTTGACCTCGATCTTATCGGCATCGCTGTGTCGTTCATTGCCCCAATGAACGCAAACCGGATGTCGTTGTTCAAGAAGGACCCGAGTCGACCGACGGCGCGATGAGGATGCCCATAGACCACACGCGACTATTGCGGTCGGTCGTAAGGGCAGCAACGCATTCGTTGCCTTTCCCTTCCATAGTGTAACGTTAACATCTACAGTACATAATAATTTCAAGGTCGTCAGTGGTTTCGGCGATTTGGAGATCCAGCAATCTCTCACCAAATGTGGAGGACCTTATGCTTCCAAATGGCTGCGTGGTCATCTGGATGTCATTTGACGAGATCACGTCCATTGATGTGTTAACATCAGTGGTAACGTTATGGCAACGTAGACCTTGGAATTCGCACGCAGGAACGTACTGGTAACTTTGCACTGTTAGTTCTCCACATCTGCAAAAGTAGATGCATGGAAGACTGTAGCTAAACCACAATCACTACGCAACTTAACGCTAACGTTAGTTCTGTGCTTCCATACTCTAGTTTGTGAACACTGGTCAAACGATCAATGCCACACTCGCGGGTTCGAATCCCGTTTTTCGCTTTTGGGCACACACCAACAAACTTCCTCCTGCTCTACTGTGGAAATAGGAGCTCCTGATTGGCTGGGTCGAATGTGATGATAACGCCAAATCCACGCATCGAGGCATGGACGAGGACATGGACGACGCTTGGGTGATCCTAAGCACGAGTAACGGACCACATGAAACACCAGAGCCAAAACCGCACGTTAAACAAGACCATAATGAACACCCAACAAACTTATTGACATTACTCCAGTATGTTGCTCCACCAGGTACAGCTAAGGATCGTACGTGCGATGGCAGTCCGGATCGCAATAGGTACAGCAATGCGCACTAATGTATTACTTAAACAATATATTGTAATTTATTTAGTTCAATTATTTATTGTTCCACTTCGCAGATTGCAATTATTAATTGATTTTCAGGATGATATTGCCGAAAATTGATTATATTGTACAAATATATCACCACAGGTATTGCCAATATATTGTACAATAATCAAAGGTTGCATTGGCTGTGAGGTTAGTGTAGCAGCTCCCAGCGACGAGAATGCACTTGCACAACGAGCACAAATAAGTGCTACGCCCTCCCTTGACTGGAGATTTGGATATGTTTGCATGAACACCGTTGGAGGGTTGCTCAGGGCTCTCACAGTTACACAGTAAATGGTGACACGGGTCGGGTTGAGTGGTATCAGTTGAAACGTACCTGCATGAGTTTCAACTGACACCACTCAACCCGACCCGTGCAAAGTGAGGCATTGCGCAGTGTTCTCATATCATCATTTGCCGTGTACCTCCGACAGCCCTGTCCATGTTTTCAACCTCGTCATCGCTTGAATTTGGCGGTGGATCAGTTCCTCAAAGCTAATGTCAGTGATGTGCTCTCCAAGGTGGCTGCAGTCATGGTTAAAATTCGATCGTTGAAAGCGGGGGGCCGACTGCGATTAACCACCATGTTGTAGCCCAAGCTACGCAATGCCACCAATGGACTGGCGCTGTGTCCATGTTTCAACGTTACATCTACTATCGTGATGGCAACCACATCGATGCCTCCGATCCCGAGATGACCGTATTGTTACCGACTCCACAAGATGACAACCTTATCCAGCGCCACCTACTTGCACTGACTAAGTTCAAGTCGATAACTCTCGCCCTGCAACGGCGCGATATGACTTTATCCGAAGCGCGTCTTGTTTTTGATCGCATACGCCAGAAGTACACTTGCCTAGATTCCCATCTGGCACCCGACAGTAACATCGTCCACGACAAAGGGTTCGAATCTGCCATCGCAAAAGTGCAGCGTCATCGGGAAAGCACCCTGTCAGCACTCGAAAAGAAATCCTTAAAACGACTGCAACGAGAATCAGTCGAGTCGATCGAATCAGACAGTGATGGTAGCGATGACTTTGCCATGGTGACACTTAAGCGGCAGCGCACGATGACTTCTCCGCCGTCTGGGTATGTGTGCACGAAGTTTAACATCAAACGAGGTGGAACGGGTAAACAGCATGTGCAAACGACTCTACACCGTACGACATCGACTCGAGCCTCGAACCCTAGAAATGCTCGTATTTCTGCGCTGCAATCGCAACCAGTGGGACGTTTCACTGGTGTCTCAAATTGTCAACGAAATCGACAAAGAAGAAACAAAAGAAGATCCCGACGGGAACGAAATTTCCCCCAGCAAAGTGACGACTGTGAGAGTTGTGATGAAGAATTCTGACCTTAGTAATAGCGGTAGGATACATAATACATCGAAATATACTCATATCAGACTCTTACATATATCCGCGTTTTACTGATGCGCCGTTCGGGTTTACGTTTCCATGGGCCATTCGTATGAGCTGGATATGTGTAACATCAATCCGGCTTTCTGCGGAGCATGCCTTGCCCAGCAGCCTGCAACGACGCCGTGGAATGGCCGCGAGTGCTCGAATGACTTGCCCAGCGGGCATCCAGGTACAAACGGTGTAGTTCTACGTCGTGTAGGCTTGTGCTCCACATCCAACGGCACTTCCAGACATTGCGGTTGCTGGCGAGGACGCTGGGGGCGTGTTGTCTTGCTTGCGAATGTTGTTGGCTGTTTGGAAATGGCATGGTCCGGGCAATTATATTGTTTCAATTTTACAATATATAGCAATATGTATCATAATTTATTGTTTGAAATTCGACTTGTCAATAATTTATTGTTTGAATTCAATACAGATAACTACATAATAATATAATTATGCGCAATTCTGAATAGGTGCAATAGGTGCCCCCACGCGGGCCCAAAACTGCTCGGCCTTATGCCCGCTCCCCTTAGACTCATCTTGGGATATGTTCACGAACAAACTAGCTGGCAGTCCTCCTCAGTGGTGAAGTTCGCACCCCGCCCGTTGAGAGCCATTGTCCATGCTCAAATACTTGCGTTTTATTGGTGGAAATATGCTGGTTTGTGGTTTATGATTGGCTCCTGTATTTTGCCGTCGGGTGGTCAAATTGACGATTTGCCGTCTCGCGGTAAAAATATGCCGTTTCCGGTAGATACCGTCACACCGTTGGGGTTGCCAAAACTGCATATTTGACCCCAAAAACGGTAAAATAGGGTTTACCGTCGCACCATTAGGGATGCCCTAATACGGTATGCTTCACATAAAATAGGGTTTACCGTCGCACCATTAGGGATGCCCTAATACGGTATGCCTCACATACGGTATGCTTCGTGATGAACTGGTGGTTGCACTGCGTAAGTTGGCCTGGTGCTGCAACTCGATTAGTTAGCGACTGAAATAAAGTACGAGTTGTTTGTTCTATTCTGCTGAAATGCAGAACATGGGTTTAGCGTTGTTTTATCTTCAATCGAGCTTATATTATTTTAATGGTCTTGTTGAGTAATGGTTAACGCAGTTAAACAACCGACAAACTAGTAGTAAACACATCACGGAATGCCACAGTGAATGCAATGATTTATAACGGCTCCGTTCGTGTCAGCACAACTCTATAACTGTAAGCTTTACTAACGTTATGGTAACTGATTCACAAAAAGACACTGAAAAACGAGGCATACAAAGAGCAAAATGCGCTTTCACTGGAGAACGCGCCTGAGCTGCCTTCCAGCAGCTCATAACGTTGAAGGGGGCACGTTCCTTGGGCTGCGGTATACTTCGTCAAGTCTGGTGGACGCACCAGCGCCACATTAGGAGGTTTTGCAACTCATCTTTATCATTACCCTCAGCCACTACTGACAAAACCGGAAGTGTACCTCGCAAACTTAATTAATGATACTGTGAAAACGAATGGCAAGGTGGGTTGACAAAAAACGCAAATATAACCTTACAAAGTAGGTTATATTTGCGTTTTTTTGCTACTTTGAGGACTCATCACTCACGCTACAAAGTTGCATTCGTCATATTTCTAGCTTTAAACGATAGCCTGCAACTAAGTTTGCAATATCTACATGCATTACACCGCTCGTAGGCAAGCCGTCAGAGAGATATTTGATGTCAAAGTCATGTACTTTCTAAGTTAGCTAAGAAAGTTGATCATTAAACTATGATTAACTTCATTCAAGTCATGTATTTGAAGCAATGTTTATTATTATGTTAATTGGTTTTTAAAATTTATCACAATTCAATGTCAAGTCCATTAAAATACCGAACAGTTTTGAGCTGAAGTCACTACACCATACGTTCCAGGTCGTTGCGCCTTGTCGAAAGGCCAATCGAAAGTCCGCAGCCCCTAGTGTGTCTATCAGGTATGATGAGACCTAGTGCGATCGAGCTGCTTGGTATGCTGCCAATTCATTTTATGCTCGATGTTTTGGTCATTTCCCACACCCTTCTGTAAAACCACCTTCAACCAACCAATAATCGCATTAGATGAAGTAACTTTAAACAACGCACACAGCCGTTATTCAAGTTACTTTAGACATTATTTAAGCCTGATAATTTTTTAGACAATGAATTTAACCCTGGAATTGCCAAAAAATGCTAAGCACATTAACTACTGTCCATTCTAAGTTTGAGATACTGTAGTTGATTTGTTCAGTGGGAACTTTGAAATCCTCTATAATTCTAGTTTCAGATTATCTGAAAGTACAGGAACCTGAGGAAATTGAAACTCCTAGTATTTACAGCATGTTAATACAATTAGGATTAGCAGGGTAAGTTTGACGCGCGAGTTTTGTTGAAATTTTCAAACGATGGCGCGAGAACCAGCACGTCCACCAGCGCATCGGGAAGCCACTGGTCGACCAGTGATCAAGAATGTCGCTTGGAAGCCGCCACAATTCAAGGCAAACACCTACTCAATCATGAAGAAGCTATGTATTATCAACGCAGCACGAGATATGTCGCCTCACGCTGCGCTGGACACGTACTTCTCTGGACCGGAACGCCGCGCAAGACGGCTTGCGGTGTTGGTGGAGGACATAGTGTTGGTCGACTGGACGCACGTGGAGTGCTACCAAGTGTGAGCGTGCGCAGTGGAAGGCGCAGGAGATGATGGAATCAATAATGAATTGGTGTGTTAAGACTACTACGCTATCACTAAGCTACACGTAACCTACCATTAGGGGGAGTCAATTTAGGACATTTCCTTTTTTTATTCGATAACGTTATGTGAAAAGCAAATTTATATTCTCTTGTATTTTTATTAGCTTCGATGTGGAGTCAATTTGACCCTCCAAAGTCCGCATTCAAAAGTGGGTGATGTCAGGTACGGAGGGTTGGAATTCTCGTCGTCGTCGACGACATTGTCGAGGGCTTTCGAATGTTCAATTTGGACACCTTGATTACGACCCACCCTGCACGGTCGTCTCATTCGACGACGAAGCATGCAACGAAGAAAATGCCCAATCATCACAGGGAGATGAGGGAACAGGACACACCACCATGAAGAATTAAGGGCCTTGACCCCTTCAAATCTTGGTGTGTCATTGTCGAGGGGATATATATGCATCTTTATTCAAGCTGTCACGTGTGAGTCAACCAGGAATTCAATCTGTCAGCTACTTCCACGGAATCAAACGACGTGTACATGCGCGCGACAGTTACATATTATTATTCGCTTGAGCATATTTATGTTGATATTTGTATCAAATATGCGTATTTTTATTCATCCATAATTATTTACGTTTTGCAAAACGATCTATACATCCTACAGATTGTGCATGCGTACATGCGGGAAAGGCGCGATGCATGTCAGCGATTTCTCAATGCATACTCCGCAAGGGTCACGGAACTCTCAATTCCTCATAACAACTATTACTATCAAGAACACCTTATTGCATGTCGCCTGAATCAACAGCTGTAGAGAAAGACAACTTCGAACTTGGCAAATTCGTCGTATTTCAAGAACAAGTCTGTACATACCGGTAAGATGCCTTATGCCAGAGAGAGCTGTGCATGCGCAGACCATGCTGCATAGGCTGAGCTAGTAATGGGATATCTTGTAATATCAGTAGTGTAAACGTGCGTGCGCAGAGGAAGGCGCAGTAGATGGTAAAATGAGAAGTGAATTGATAGCGTTATAAAAATCTAACGCTATGGCTAAGCTAAGCAGGACCAGCCATCTTGAGCTGGTTAACATAAAGGGCCGGGGGTGATCCGAAGCAAAGGGGCGGCGAACCCTTTGCTGTTTCCTTGGCACGTAGCGGCGTCGTTGGCCGCTCATGGGTTTGGGCCTGACTTTGTCTTCAACCTGTGTGCCGTGGTACTGCCACGTGGATCCGGATCTTGTATCCGGAACTGTGACATCCTCCCACACTCAAACGAGAACATGGGAAGATGCGAATCAACTGTCACGTGGTTGATGGCCGTTGGACGTTGGCAACTGGCGATCGTCAACTTTACTCATCGTGGGAAGCATTATTGAATTTGACGGCATGGCCGACGACCAACGGAAGAAGGCCAAAGAGGTCGTGGACTTGACGGGTGACGACTCAGACAGTGATGAGTACTTCTTCGCGGGACCCCAGCGGCTCCAGACGGGCAGTGAAGATCCGCTGCTTGATCTGTTCATGAAGAAGGAAGAGCAGCGGATCCATGCGGAGCACCAGGCAGCGGCCGACTTGGTTCAAACGGCGCTGCGCACGGTGGGACCCATGGCAGTACGGGAGCTCCTGCGAAACGAGATCGTGGCCTTGGAAGAGCGCCACAGAAAGGAAGACATGCGGCTCCAGCGGGAGATGGAGCAGGCGGCCGAGGAGTCAATGGCTGAGTCAATAGCCGAGGCCGAAGCACAGGCAGCGCAAGTTGCCGAAGACCAAGCGGGAACGGCAGGCGCGGGAACGGCAGGCGCGGGAGCGACACCCGCGGTGGTACAGGTGCAAGAGCCGCCGGTTGGGCAAGCGGCGCCAGGGGTGCAAGCAGCGCCGAACATCAAGATCAAGGATGAAGGTGTTGGGCAAATAGCGGTCGAGAATGGACCGCTCGGAATGCGCGAAGTGCGTTTGGAGGACGTCCGCACCTTAAAGCTGCACGAACTGGACGATTCCGCCCTCGGCGTCTGCGTGGACTACATCAACGGCAGAACGCGCCGTTTGAGGGTGTAGCAGCTGGACTCGCGGCTGCAGAATTGGGGGTGGACACCGGCGTTGCGCGAGCCGGTGGAGCGCGGTGGCGGCGCCGGTGAAGCGGGAATGGAAGCAGGAGTCGGCGTCATCGGCCGAGGATGGGCAAGTGGCAGAGGAGTCAGAGGAGGACTTCGGGGATGAGCCGCCGCGGAGTCCAAGTGACCGCTTTCCGTCGTTGCATCGCTGGTTGTTGTAGGTGTAAGGTATAATTTGAGTTTTCCTACGTAGAAGGTTGGGTGGATCTGCCAAGCTGGTGGCTGGTCGAGGGTGTATGTAGTCGGGCTGACAACTTTCTTGACGGCAAAGGGGCCGTGCCTTGCGCTTCGCAACTTGATGTTGTGTTGGCCGCTGTCGCGGAATGCATGGGTACAGTAGGAATAGCGGACTTATGAAGGAGGACTTGGTCGGCAACTTGGAAAGTCGCCATGTCGCCATGTTGGAACGGCAGCGCCTATCGGCTTGAGTAGCCTGTCGCTGTTGGGCGGTGGCTAGGTTATCCTTGATCTGTTGCACGACAGATTGGCGCTTGGAGACGAAAGACTTTACATCTTGTATAGTCCGGATCGGGGCATTGGGGGCGTTGATTTGGATCCCTCCCCCACTCAAACGGGGACTGTCTAAGAGTTGAGGCAGCCGGGGGTGCTGCAAG